GATGTCATGTCATTTGAGCCCCAATAAAAATTTCAAATAATCAGCTGTCATGTCATTTAAATTCTAAATTGGTCACAAAATTTGATCAATAAAGCATTACTCTTAGACTATATATGAATTGCCATTGCTTCATGCGGTAATTAATGTGTGAGAACATAAGCACAAATGAAACTCTAATAGATAGTTCAAATGGTAACAAGGCCAACGCTATCAACTCAAACATTCTGAGTTCGAATATTGACAATTTAATAGAATCAGGTCACGTGAGATTTATCTCTCATAAATACCTAAGTCCCAGCGTGGATGATTTGTCTTTAACCAGACTAGGAAAAAAATTAATCGAGGTGTACATAAACTAATTCAAACATCCTTGAATGTTGAACCAATAAATAAAAAGGAAAAACTTCATCTACACCCCTTGTAATTGTAGTTAATCATATCTTCAGAGACACCCCCTATAGATTCTAAAACTTCACTGTCACCCCTTCTTGTTTGTATTATCGCTTCACTTACACCCCCTTATACAGTCCATTTCTATACTACAAAAAGTGGATGACATGACTGAAATCTTTAATAAAATTTCAAAATTACCCTTTTATGTATAAATAGACTATGCCATCATTTACACAATTTATTTATAGTACTGGAAACCCAATTTGATCAGTACATAGATTGAGTGGAAAAGTCCAAAAGTGTTGTAGAAGTTCAACATTACAGTTATTAAATTTATCAAAATATTGAACTTATGATTATTCTGTAGGATTAATATTGTAATTTGTTAGACTGTTTTAATTTACTGTACATGTTTGAAGTATTATCTTGATCATCAAAATATTGATCATCAATAATTAGTATTGTGTCACTTTACACCTGAGCTCCATGGGATAATAGTCAAAGTACACAAAAAAAACCCAGTCAACAGTGAAGTCACTTTACACTTGAGCTTTAACAAAATTATATCCCTAGGATCATAATCAAACTATACAAAAATTACACAAAAATACCCAGTCAATAGTCAAAATACACAATCGAGTCAGCATCTTATGCTTCCCCACAGCCTTGGACAAGCCCAGTTTGTTCCCTTTCAGTGGTTGCCTACAACTCAAGGAACATTATTTAGTACTTAATTACAATATACTAGAAATTACAATAAACTAGAAATTATAATCATAATCACCATAATGTTATAGACTAAAAATTATACCGGCTCACAATTCTGAGTTATGGTGGTCCCTTGAGATGTTGATTGTTGAGCCACTTCACCATCAACTTGTCCTTTAACCTTTGAACCCTTGACGGGTGCCCGTTGACATGACCTTCTATTATGCTCAAACTCTTTGCATATGCTGCATTTCATACTTAGACACCTTCTAGCAGCACTAGGTCCACCTATAGGTTCATTTGCCTCCCTACGCCTATTTATTTTGGGTCTACCTGGTAATCTCCTAAGAGGGGGAAGGACTAAAGGATCACCAATAGTTGGTGGCCATTTCCTTTGGTCTTGAAGCGAGTGAATCATTAGTTCATGAGCCTTCAGAAAAGCATATGCTTGAAGAAGTCATGACAATATTCTTCAATATTCAATCTCTTGTGAGCAATTGCCTGTGCTGCATGCTTACATGGTATGCTTGATATACTCCAAGTCATGCAATAACATGTTCTTTGATCAAGTCTTACTACATATCTCACTCCAGTATCCATAATCTCATAGTTAAACCCACCAGCATGCAAGACAGAACATTTCCTTGATTCTCCAATGATTTTGTTAAGTTTTTTTCCTTATGTTCTCTATGACCAACCCTTCCCAAGTGCTGCCCCTATCATATCTCTGTAGAATCCTAATCATGAACTTAGTTCTTATCCCGTCTAAAAGTGTAAGTATTGATTTCAACCTTAGTGATCCTACCCAACTATTGAAAGATTCTGTCATGTTATTAGTCACATGGTCACTCTTAATCCGACAATCAAAGGCATGCCTTGCCCCTGAGCTTATAGGCAGCGTAAGCAACCACTGGTATGCTTCTTGAGACTTAGACTTGAGTTGCAACATTGCTTCATTAAAATCTTCTTGGTTATAGGCTTTAGCAGCCTTCCAAAATAGTCTTCTAAGTAATACACCAGGAAATTTTGTCTTAAAATTCGCAAGCAAATGCACACAACACGTACGGTGATTTGCCTGTGGAAATATTCGCATTATGACATTATCCAGTCCCTATATCACATTTAAACAGAAGATCATAATCACAGTTACAATATCCCAATTACAGAAGCACTGTCACAGTATTTCAGTTACAGTTTGCTCACAACCATAGTTATAACATCTTTAAAAATCACAATAACACAGGAAAAAAATCCTCAATATAATATTGGCAAAATAACAAACCATACTCAAATAAAATAGTTTTAATATTGCATCTAATCTCACCTTCAAACAACTAAAACCTCCTTCTTTGGAAAAAAATATATAACTTAGAAAAAATATTAGATAGCTTTGGATCAACAAAACCATGGGTAAATCATAGACGTGGCATGAAATATAATGAAACTAGTACAAAAAATCACATGAGTGCTACAAAAAAATTAACTGGTCTAACATGATTATCACTAAACACCAATTGTCTAACATACACATATCTGGTAGGTTTCCATATCAAAAAGTCAAGGATTTCTGTACAAAAAAAATAGGGGATTTCGTACAACAAAAATTATGATAAATTTCAGTGTTTTTTTGTACAAAAAATAGGGTAAAATTCAGTTTTTTTTCATACAAAAAATTTAGGGCTTGTTCGTACCTATTGATCGATCGATGATGACTTGATCTTCTTGAAGTACAAGTGAATCGAGCCTCTTATCATTCGATCATTTTCGACTCCAAGGATTCGAACGGTGATCAAGTAGAAAACTACATACTTTCATAGAACAAGCAATCAAGCGATTGGATCTCCTCTCCTTCAATCACTCTCTCTCTCTCTCTCTCTCACTCTCACTCTCTCTGTGTGTGAACCAGAAGGCAAAAACGAGTGGCTGAAGTCACTGTAGTTCTTGACCAAAAACAAAAAACTCACTCTAGTTGCTTTATTTTTATAGGTCTGGTTAGTATATCAACCCAAGGTTAAACACAAGTTTGTTATTTATGTATAATGTAATATATGAGAAAAATATATATAGATACATATTATAGATATAAAATATTTCATGGGCATTTTAGTAAATTTACTATATCTGTTAACGTCGTTAGCCAGTAACAACTGACAAGGGGTGGCAGTGTAGTTTCAGAATTTACAGGGGGGTGTCTCTGAAGATATGGCTAACTATAGGGGGTGTCACTGAAATTTTTCCAAAAAATAAAAAGCACAAATGAAGGCAGAGCCACATGCCTTAAAAAACTATATGAAATGGGAAGTCCAAATTCTTTCCTTTGTGTTAAAAATTGAATATCTTATCCATATCTACATTCCTAGCTTTAATGCTCATCATCTTCAAAACCTAAAATCTATGTATGTATGGTGTAGAGTTGATTATAGATTGGTGGATATTGATTACAACACTGCTACTCCGCGTACTTCATCATAAACTCAACTCAGCCAATGGGTAGTTATGATCCCACCTAGCTTGACTCAATTCAATTAGTCATACAAAAATTTGGTTGTCAAATTTTTTTATCAAATCCCTATCTTAAATAATGTCACACGATTTTCACTATCAAATAAACGAGTCTTATTAGACTATTAATGTTAAATAATAAATGTGTCACGTTATTTGAGATGAAAGATTTGATAAATGTAATATTTTTATTACATAAAATCATTCTTATCCCTTACATCTACTTTTGTATACGAATGTGATGCCTCACTACCATGCTTCACATTTATTTTTCTTTCTGGGGCAACACACTCATACTTCCCTTGAATATGGGAGAGTATGATGTACAATTTTTAATAACACGAATACAATGAGTTTTTTTGAACAGCTAAGAAATTATCCATCTCTATATATGGTGGCATATTTTAAAGTCTAGTACCACTAGCTTGGCAAAAAACCATCTCCTTTTCGCTTTCTCACTACGAGATTAAACATTCCAAGGTCCAACCAATCCCAGAAGAAATGCTCACACATCCTCTGATCAGGTAGCTTCTTGTATAAGAGACCTTGAATATTGACTGTCCATGGGATCTTTTTTACGGTGGAATTGGCAAAAATAGCAGTATTTTTAAGCTCTAACCAATATAGGCAACAACAATCACCCTTACAAATGTACATTGTTCTGCACATCTTAGCTATATTTTATTAGATGTCATACAGATAAAAAAGATGACAATTTCGGTATCATAGCTCAAAATGTGTTTTGGCATTTAATCTTCTTTTAATTTATCTCTGACCATTGTAAAAATAATAAAATAAATAATCTTTACACATGTCAAACTTTCACTAGAATAAAAAAAAAAGATGTATGGTAACACAGTTGACCCCAGGCAGAGGACATTAATAAAGTGGGGAAGGTGGCATTAAATATGTACGACCCCTCTGAAACATGTTCGTTGCTTCTTGACCAGGGAGCTTGACCCACCAAAGCCATGGGAATAATCCAAGCAGGCACTTGTGACTGGGAATGAAATAGGTCAATGGCCATCTCTGGGTTCTTATGTACTACTATTTCAGAAATGTGTTGCCGGTTAGGGCTACATGGGGATATAATAGATGGAATGGGAATGGCCCACATATAGACTTAGGTACCCTCTAATACTTTTTCTCCCCATTTTTTTTGGTTTAGGCAGATCATCTACTATGATGATCAGTGAGGGATTCCCTTGAATACAACACGTCCCAGTTGAATTCATAAAAATGAAGAAAACCATATTTGAGAAGATCTCACCGTCCCCAAAGACGATCTCTAATCTCTTAACCACTTGATTTGGACAACTCGGCATGGTTTATCTACTGATGGTCGACTAATCAACGAGAAAGGTCCATGACAATCAACAAGTGATCAAGGATAATGTGACTCACATGTATGTATGTGTGTGTGCGCGATTGGTTGGGCTGTGGCTACATCAACTGTGGTGTAATGCATACATTCCGCGACAATGTAATCAAGAACAACAAGAGGCAGAGATAAGTTTCACATTCATATTAAATATGCACAATACATTACAACAGTGGATAAAAACAACTTTACAACAGATATATGGCCAGAGGAGGTCATTCTATTTTCACAATTACAAAGAATATGACAAGAGAAGTCTCCTCTAGCTCTGCATTTATGGTATCAGTCTCCTACCTTTTCTCTACCTTGAGTTCGTTTAAAAGAAAATGACAATCAATCTCCTCCATCTTCAAAAATCTACTTTAAAATGCTATGAAAATCATTTTAAAATAATCTTGTCCTTTTCTTTTTCAATCTTCTTTCTTTCCCCTATTTCTTTTCATACTTTTTTTTTCCCCAATAATCAGTACTAATAGTCTAGAACTATTCCTTCATCCCCTGGAACAGGAATGCATAATTGCTGCCACCCCCTAGCATCGGATGCAATCTCTGACCAAATTGGTTTTAGTGATATAAAGTTATGCAATACAGTTGTCTACTAGATATGATACCCTATTTCATATGCTGTAGTGCATATGAATTTTGTACAGAGGCTCTAGAATGGCATGAAGCATAGATATTTCTTCTTCAGCTTTTTCATTCTGACAACAACAGGCTCAGTCTGCCCTTCTGAGACAGGTTTAGCGGTACTAGATGATTCGGCGACATTAGAGAAATTTGATGTACCTCCATTTATATGGTTCGCCTTCAGCCTCTTGACAGCAGCATGCTCAGGGACTCTTCTTTCTATGAATTTCTCCTTACTAGCTGAAACAGATTGGGTCCTTTCCACAGGCAACTTACTTCCACATCCACTAATTAGAGATCCTGTGAACAAAGTTCAAATAAAATAAGTGCTACAGAAACAAGTAGTCTACTCTGATCCCACTGAAAGAAAGAATAAACTAAGCTTGGAACCTAATCAGGACAAGTTTCTTCTTATTATCGAAGAACTAATATGGTCTTAACTTTCCCTGAGGATAATTCTTACTTCCTAGTCTCCATTAGATGAATTATTAGATAGATACTAAATCAAATGCTTAAATGCATGAATACAGCAGCAAAGGGTGGTGTGGCCATTCAAATGCAAGAAAAAAAAATGAATCCTTTATTTCTCTTCCTTCTCTTACTCATGGGGAGAAACAAAAATAGGGTCTTCCAGAGGAAGCATAGAAGGCACACTCAGTAGCACGCTTCATCTCGAAACAGCACTGCAAAAACTCACAAGGGTGGCATGGATTGTGATGCACCCACAACCTCAGGGTCCTCCTGAGCTTCCATCATTTCTTAGGTCACTAGAAATGGAAGGGGATATACTCCCACATCAAAAAGCAACTACATTGGATCAAAACATTTTAATGCTGTGTTTTTATCATAGAGACAAACTTAATAATGCACGACATCTCTCAAAGCACCCATCATATTCTGCGCTTATCCAAATCTTTCAATTACCAGTTTGATCATCTAAAGATCAATATGGTTTAACATCCTAATGCAAATCCTGGATTGGTAGACCCTAGTTACACGCAAGCTTTTAATCCTGTAAAGTCTAGAATAGTTTAAAAAGGATGAAGATGAGAATCCTGGCATACCTAGTGTGGCTGGAGGCATAACCACCTCATTTGGCCTGACAGATGCAGATACATTCAACTTGAAACTAGAATCCTTCTTTGGCAAGTCTTTGTTATTTCCATCCTCAAGATCTTGCAACAGGGCCAATGTATCAAAACACTCTTCTGATGTCAAGGACAGACAGCTCGAATTGTCTGAACTGGAAGAAGGTGAGTTGGGGTTAGCAAGATCGTGTAACTCCAAGTAGTCACCTCCTAAAATACAATCAAGTTCATGCAGATTTTCTGCAGGAGGATCTGTAAATCTCTCAGCCACAGTTAATAATCCAGTCTCTTCATCACTCTTCTTCACCTACGAGACATTAAAAAATTAGGTAAAGCATGTGAACACAAATAAATGCAAAGAATGGCCCCAAACTCCCAAACAGAACAGTGGCAACCCCAATCTTCTCCTCATATAACTCAGACAAACACACAAGGTTATAACCCAGTGTTGGTCCACACACACAGCTGTTGAGACTGAAATAAGAACACTTCACTGCATTAAGCTCGGCATAAGAAAATTATTAGAAGATTGCGGACCAAATCAGAAGGATCCTTATCATCCATTACATAAACAACATCCAAGATTTTCTGTGCAACATTTTACCATCCAACATTTTGCACATAAAAATACAGGGAAAACAAAGTTGAGCAATCAGCCCAGTAAAAGTACGCACCTGGCATTCACTTCTAGAACCTGGTCCGGTGCTACCATCAGCTTTTGGAATAGTTAATGGGGTTGAATGGGGGAGGTTTCTACCATCAAAAGCAGTACTGCCGTGTTTGGGGTGCATTTCTATATTTGGGCTTTGCCTACCAGTATGAAAGACTCTGCATAGAGATTTTGAATCCTGCAAGTCCAACCAAAACGGCAATTGACTGGCAGGTCGGTCAAAGATGAGAATAAAAGTAGTGGTCAGAAAGTAAGCATATGGCCAGGAGATTGCATTTAATACCTTTTTCTTGACGTTATGACATAGTTCCTTTGGAGTAATCTTGTACTCTTGCATGACCCAATTAGTTCTTCGTCCTTGAGGGGTTTGGCCTTTATAAAATTCAAGAGTAGTTCTCCAACCAGTTATGACAGAGTTGGTGAATATTTTATTGGCCTCCCCTCTGGCCTTCCAGAATCCAAGTTCAGTAGTTTTGTTACCATCTGAGGGTACGATATACCAAATTCCTTCTGTGCATACCACATGCTTGTGTTAGCTTTGGTAGCATTGACCCAAGCTCATTCAATATTATATCTTTGATCCAAGCCACAATAAACAGACGATAAAAAATGCAACTCAAAATACAGTCCCCAAAAACATCTTATTTTTGTGTGTGTGTGAGAGATAAAGAGAGAGAGAGAGGTAGGGAGGGTTGGAAGGAGGACATCTTGAACAAGATATTCTACATACTAATTACTAAGTGGACGGATACACATAGCTACAGGTCACTGGGCCATCCATACATTCCCCAGAACTCTTTAAATCATGCAACAAGATAGGACTAACATGGTGCTATGACTATAAAAATTATCTCTGCAACACCGTAATAGCAGATGGGAAGTGCGATTAAGTTTATTATGTGCGTCGAGAATAAGACCAGAGAGTCAAGAAATATAATAAGTGAATAACCAGAATGTCTAATCAGGATGTCAAACTTAATAGGCTCCCAATCTTTATCCAAAATTTCAACATATTTGCAGTTTATTTAGTCACAGTGTAACAAAGGTTAATCTGGAATCGATGATACCCAACTAGTCCAGCTCACAAAGAATAAATAGCCACCTAATCTGGTGTATCCCGTTGTAAAACACATCACTTAAAGTAGAACTAAAAATGCAGTTTGATCTTCTAATCTGAAAACTGCCGGTTTGCTAGGTGATTTACGTAGTAATCTTCAATTTGGACCTTTTTCAAAACCTTCTACAATGAAAGCATGCTAAATCGGCATAGGCAATGGACCTTATTGTCCGATTGATTGCCTCAAAATAACAGATCAACCACATTAATGGCAAACAATATATTATTGCCTTATAAAAATAAATCAACACCATTACTGATAACAACGTACAAGAGACAGCACTCTCTTCACAGCTGAACAAGTAGCTTTGCACGTAGAATATATTTTAAAGCAATTTCCGCACATAAGACCAATAGGAATACACAAAGGCTGACAGTGTCTTGTTCAGGTAAGACACAAACGTAAAAAAATATTATTTAACCGTGAAAAAATGTCTGATCATAAATGCGTCTGAGAGAGGTAACACCATTTGCACAACACTAAAATATGGATATCACATAACGATAATTTGATACTAACCGGGTAAATAGGAGGGACTGTGCTGGTATGGATTTATATCTTCAATGACGTTGCCAGGGAGAGGGGATCCACGTTCCAATTTCTCCAAACACATACAGAGCTCCTCATCAGTCCAATATAAACCAATATCAGCGGGAGGAGGGACAGGTGCTGGGGGACACATGGCAACTCAATTTAAGTGGAGTGGAAACAAAACCGTCGCCAACACCTGTGTCCAGATAGATAAAAAGAGAAATTAGTCCAACTAGACTATGAACAACAAGAATGGATATAGGTAGTCAAAAATAAGCTCCAGGCTGTCAACAAACTCGAATATACACGCAAACATATAGAAGAAAAGCAAAACTGATTTATGTTATTTCTTGCTTCTTTGCGTAGAATCCTTTCAAATTAGAGTCCAAATGCCGAGTGACCAACAAAGGGATGAACTATATCAGCTCTCCCCCCCCCCCCAACACACACAAAAAACCCACACAAAAGAAGGGGGGGGGGGGAGTTAAAGGAAAAAAAGAACCCGCCTCTTTGATGAAAACAAATAGAGAACAACACGCCTTGTAAAAACGAAAAAGAATGCTACAAACGTCTTACGTGGATGATTCCAATTCACCCCACAATGCCCATTAACAGATGAGAGGCATATATATATAATCGATTCAAACACATTCAAGAACATAACAGCAGCAAATTGCTAAATGCAAAAGGTAAGTCTCAGCTACTTTAAAAGATGAGCAGTCATCTGAACAAGTACCGTTGACTTCAACGTTGACTTGAAAACCTTATCCAATATTATGTGATCAACAGCCAAAACATTTTCTCATCTCTTCGGTACTTCAAAAATCAAACGATTTAATAAAGCAAAGAGAACATCAAAATTACTGGAGTATTACTGCTTTGGTAAATCACAGCTCCCCCGAATCCCCAAAATTAGCAAATTTAATCCGTAAATCTGATTAAATTTGATTCGCTATCTTAGCAGTGGATCCTGATATTACAAAAAATAGACGAGAATTAAATTTGATCGCAGTAGCATTATTCAAATTACCGGTAATGATAGAAAGGATCCATAAAATTTAATGCGAACAAACGAAAAAACATACACAATTTACGCTAACAAGGATAAGATTAACTGAACTACAAAAAGCAAATTATGAAACAAAAACTTCAAAATAGGTTTACAGAGTAATGATCCGAATGAGAAAACACAGGGTGAGGACGAATTCAAACCTTTGTAGCCGCCCTCTCTCTCTCTCTCCACTCTCAGCTTCGAATGCCCCAGTTTCTCACTCCACTACCTCTCTGACGAAAGCGAAAAGGTGGGAAGTATTTATAGGGCTGGTACGGCTACGTGTGGTCATCTGAATCTAACCACGGTTAGTTATTTCCCAGCGCCCACTGTAAACTCTCTTTCTTCTCTTATGCGTTTGTATACAGAGATGTCTCAAACCGCGTGCCACGTGGTGTCCTAATAGTGGTTAACTTATGCAATCACCCACTTGACTCTTATCTGACTCGGATCAAACGCGTCCTTCCGGAGAAGTTTCGCCAAACCCAAGGCTATGAAATTACGAATATGGTCATTCAACCCCATGTCATAATGGCCCTTTTTTTCTCTCTGAACTGGGATGACATAATCGACTTTACATTGCTGATGACGTACATTTCGTAATGACCACTTAAGGGACGCCACGTCGTGCCTAAAATAATTTGTGATCCTCTTAATAACAACATAAAATAAAATAATTTTAAACACTCCATATCCTAGTTGACCACATGAATATAGTTGGACTTATTTATATATCCCTTCTATTTAAAGTGTAATAATGACCAATTTGGAATTAATTATTTTAGAAAAAAAATTGAGATTTAAAAAATTTCGTAAAAATCAGAGTTAAATAACGTCTCTTAAAATTGTTTAGAGTATATTTTAAAAAGTTGAAAAAAAGCGTTTTGAGTAATTTTATAGTAACTTTTTGACTTTTTGTGTCAAAATAAAAAAAATAACTTCAATAAGTTAATCCTATGATTTCAAATTTATTCATCTAACGGTCAAAAAATTATAATTTTTTTTCCTAATATTTCCCCCTTTAAAAAGTCAACGATTATGGTTAATCTTGAACATATCTTACGGTCTTAAATTTATTTATCCAACTGTCAATAATTTTTTTTTTCTCAATAACTTAACACTTTATTAATCATTTATGTAAAATACGGGTGTATTAAAGAATGTATGTTTTGTTTTCAACTTAATGTGCATCCAAGTTTAATATTTGATTATTTCATGTTCACGATCAATATTCAATTTTTTTTATATTATACAATGTTTTCAGGCACGGGTTATCGTTAGTAATTTTTAAAATATGATTTTCAAATTTTTTTACGTTACTAATAATATTTTATGAATATTAAAAACTAAAAAATTACATAAAAATCTCAATAAAACTCTAAAAAATAAGAAAAAAATTCCATTAAACTTGAATCTATTTTGTTGTCGTTGTAAGAAAAGAAGATGTTATTTTTATTGTTGACGTGTTATTGTATAGTTTTTGTTTTGGAATAAATATATTTTATTAAAATCAAGAATATGAAAAAAAAAAACAAGATACAAAATAAAAACATTAAATTGATATGCAACATGACGTAATTAATAAATATCTACCGGTAGAAATTTGATCTATCCGAAATAGTGACTCTACTCTTCTTCAAAGTAGTGGACTGGTGAGATTCCAAAACATTACACTAGCATACAAAAAGTCTGCGGGCCCATTTGCAAACGAAAAACTTGGTGAACACGCCGAAACGAATGACAAATGCTTAGTGGAAAAGCAATAAACCCAAAATGAGTTCCAACTTAGATAATTTATTTGGGCCCGTTAGAGCAATTCTAATCGTAGTCGGTAAAATAATTATTTAAAATATATTTAAATATTAAATTATTTATTTTAATTAATTATATTTTAAAATTTATTTTAATTACGCTTTTTATTTTAACTAACTATTTCAGTTAATTTTAATTAATTTTTAATAATATAATTTAAAAATATCACGTAGAGTAATACGTAAGCGTCATGATGGACCATGATGACATGTCATGCTGCGTCATCAAATTTTACAACGGTCATATTTTTAAAAATGTGTATATAAACCTCTTTTTTCTTATTGTTATATATTTCAAATTTATTTTACTGGTATTGTACTTAAAATTTTTTTGTTATAACTCGTGATGGTAAATTGAAGATAATTCTTGATGATTCTGACTCCAATGATAAGTTTGAGATGTTAGTAGTTGCTACTATGACAATGGAGAAACTCAATACTGAGAATAGCTCCGCAATACGTCGCGGTTCCATTCAAAGTCATTCTGTTATTTTTCGCAATCGAATTGAAAGACATGAGAGAGTTTATCATGATTATTTTGCTGATTCGCCTACCAATTCCTCAAATTTTTTTCGGATGAGGTTTCAAATGAATCAATCTCTTTTCGTTGGTATTCTATACACGGTAAAAATTTATAATCCATATTTTGTCCAAAAGTGGATGCCCTTGGGAATATTGATTTGTCTCCCATTCAAAAGATGACTGCTACTATAAGAATGCTTGATTATGGAGTTACAACAAATGTTGTTGATGATTATATGAGAATCGGCGAAAACACCACAATAGAAAGTCTGCAAAGAATTGTATCGGCCATAGTAGCAATTTATTTTGATGAGTATCTCAAGACACCAAATAGTGCAGACATTGCCAAATTATTAGTAATCGGTGAGAGACATGGGTTTTCTGAGTTGCTAGGTACTATTGACTGCATGCATTGAAAATGAAAGAATTGTCCAGCAGCATAAAAATATATGTACTCTGGTCACGTCTATGAACCAACAATTACTTTAGAGACGATGGTTTTATATGATCTATGGATTTGACATGCCTTTTTGGGTTACCTGTATTCCACAATGATATAAATATGGCAGAACTCTCTTTTGTTTTTACTCTTTTTTCAGAAGATAGGGCTCATTTAATCAATTACTCCGTCAATGAAAATGATTATACTATGGGATATTATTTTACTAATGGTACATATCCAAAGTAAGTCACATTTGTCAAAACAATTTCATCTCCAAAAGACAATAAGCAAATACATTTTGCACAAACTCAATAGGCAGCTAAAAAGGATGTTGAGAGAGTTTTTGGAGTGTTCCAAGCACGATTTACTATAGTTCGTAGACTAGCACATTTTTTCTGAAACTTGAAGTAGTTAAGGATATTATGAATGTTTGCATAATATTGCATAACATGATTATCAAGGATGAGAGGAACGATAATGAAATCGTGTTTAATTATGATGCACCGGATAAAATTTCTACACCTACATTGATATCCAAACGGAGTTAAGAAGTGCACCTATTTATTCATACTAAAACATCACATTAGAGACAAAGACACTCATTCAAGACTTCAAACTGATCTAGTCGAGTACCCGTGGATTTATACATAAAATATTTTAGGCAGTAATATGCTACGAATATTTTAAGCATGCATAATATTACATACTTGTTTGTTGTACTATTACTCAAAAGTTGATAGTCTATGAATAAGAAAAAACTATATTTTTTTTTCCAAGATTTCCATCTGGCAGCACTTAAAATATTTAACTTGAATCGGAGGCATGACACTCGTGTCCATCAACATTATTTTCTATTCCTCCTTTAATTGCTTGATTTGTATCTTCTCTTTATCACAAGCTAATCTCTCTTGTTTAATAGTCAACCGCTCTTTATCATGAGAAAGTCTCTCTTGTTCTTGAAGATATGATTTCTATGAATTCGACTTTCTTCTCCATCAACATTTTTTTCTCCTCCTTCAATTCTTCAAATAGTTTCATGAAATAGGTTGAACTTGAATTATTGCCTTTATAGAGTTTGTTCTTTGACTTTCTTGCTCGCTCTTTCGCAACCTTTCTTCCAGTTGACCTCTCCAAGCCTCCATATGAACCATTGTCGTCTTCATTGTTTACCGATTCTGGTGTTGAAAGATTAGAGTTTCTAAGAGTTGCACCACCTTTTATTTTTTGCTTCTTAGACTAAGAATCATCCATCCATTTTGATTGATACCGTAACTCATTCTAATAATGTTCAAATGAATAAGTGTATTTATGCAGTTCCTTGTACACTTTCTTTGTATCATGAATCTGAAAATTGTACAATAATATTATATATCATAAGCTAAAAATGCCTTATTTTCACACTTGTAATTAAAATGCACTCATATCTTGTCTTTCTCAGTTAAACTACTTTGATTCAACTTTTTAATTTGGTCAAAGCAACTACAAAAATTTATTAGTGGCTAGTTGAATTGTGTTACCAACGATTCATCAAAAAAATCTAATTGATATTACAATCTGACTGGGGTTTGTATTCATTGAAATACTTTCAAGCCATTCACCAATATGTTTTAGATTTTTACTCATTTACATGCACAACATCCACACTAATATTAAGTCAACTCGAGATTAAAACTAAGTCCTCCTCAATTGTAAAATTGTCGCTTTGAACCTTTTTTGTGGTAGATTCTATTTGAAGTGATATTGGTGAAGAATGACATATTTGGTCTATTGATTGAGTGTTAAACTCATATAAGTTTATTCCATCGTTCAAGAGATTGATGAAGTAACATCATGTTCAAATGATTTTCATACGCAATGCCTAAAATTCAACTTAAAACATAAATTATTCATGTAATTTAACCCAAAGCATACTAAAACAATAATCTAATCAAATTTCAAATAGAATCTAACTCAAAGCATAAAATATCACTGATGTCAACTTATTTCGTAATCACAAACAGCATGGGCAGTGATGTCAATTTAAAACTTTAAAAATTCTTTGAAATATTATCACCATAGATGTTTGCGTATACACATATCCAAATAAACATTGCATGGTCATCATCAACCCAAATATAAAAAATTAGTAGAACATCTGCACACACCCATTTCGTAGAACCTCCAAATAAATTACCAAATAATTTAGACTAATTTAAAGAAGACAATAACCATTCAAAAAAAGCCAAAAATCATAAGAATTGAATTACATATCTCAGACCTAATTCTTTTTTTTCTTTGCTGGTTCTCAGACCTAATTCAAAAAGACCAAAAAAATCCCAATTTGTCAAGAGGGTGAAGGAAGACATACATGGGGGCAACAACTTCGCCTATGCAACAACGTGTGTTTGCTGTGTGAGTGGTGAGTGTTTGTGTCATTTTGTGAGTGGTAGTGAGTATATGCGATAGGGAGTAAAAAATGGATAGATTGGAGGAAGGAAGACATACCTGATAGGGAAGGAGGTAGTAGCGATCGAAAGGGAGAGAGAGTCAAGCATCAAGTGACGAACAATTTAATCTCTCCAGATCTGGCTATAATGAAGACCTCCTAGATTTTGCGCTAAGAGGATGACTAGTTGGTTAAAGCTAAATTTTTTAGTGTTGCTAGCCAAAATAGCTAAAATAGAAGAATGACCAGCAACATTGGAGTTGCTCTTATGAGAGATTTATCTATCATAAAACGTTTAGTTTCGACTTGCATGATTAGTTTTTGACCGAATTAAATTGGAAATTAGTCGAAATACGTATAAATTAATTCGAACACTTTTAACCAATAAAACAAAAATTAAGAATAACAAATGCACATAGAGAATCGATCCCTTTGTTGAGTTGATGTCTAGACCAAGTTTTAAAATGGTCGCGGTGGTGCTTTCTAAATTTAAAAAAAAAAATTAAAAATGCACAAAATAGCCATTACCCACTTTTTGTTTTTGATTTTCAAAAAATAAAAATAAAAAATAACTAAAAGCTGTTTTCGGACTTACCCAAAAAAAAAAAAAAAAACTGTTTTCGGAAATAGAAAAACGGTTTCCGAGCCTTGGTTTCCTTCCCTCTTCGCTGTTTCGTTGACAGCCGAAGGGTTCCTTCACCGCCTTCCGGAGCTTAAACTGAGTTCTGAGCATGGCGGACTCGGAAACGAACAATCGGCTATCTGTGTTCTTGAAAACAGGCATTTACCGGTTCGAAAGCTCAAACGCGGTATTCATCGACCCTGTTCGAGTCCTAAACCAGTCTTACACACAGTTTAAGGTTTCACCTACTGCATATTACTCTCGCTTATTCGATTCCAAGAAATCAACAGAAGAAGAACCTAGGGTTTCCAAAAATTCAAGAAAACGGAAACGCAAAGAGAGAAAATCTCACACTCTCAATGAAAAAGAACGAATAGCCGATCAACGCCACAAGGTATGTATTACCAATACATTTGTCTTTATATATATATACATATATATACATACATATATATATGTGTGTGTGTGGTGTGACTTTGATTGTGTGATGTTTGCAGGATTCGAGAGATTTGTTGTTGAAGGCACACGAGGCTTTGATGGGAGCTACTGATCTTTTGGCCATTATACGAAAATTGAGGAGTGGTGAAGAGGAAAGTAAAGAGTCGTTGTTGCCGAGTGTCGAGCAGTCATTTGTTGAGCTTGGGAGTGTTTGGCAAGCTCCTTTGTATGAGATTACTCTTAATTTACATCAAGAGGACCAGCCAACCCAAAGTAGAGGTCTGTTGTTTTACATCACAAACATATCTCAATGCCTAATTTTAGACGGTTGGGTTATAGTCATGACCATATTCTTGACGAATCTTTTCTACATCATTTGTCCTTCAAGACTCTTTTGAATTTGATTTCAACAGTACAGGAACTTGAATTATGCAGTGTACATTGCTTGTGCCATACTGGCACTGAAAAGTTTAAAGTGAATTAGTCTCTTAAAATAAGTAAAAGAAAAAAAAAATGATCAAAGCATCCATGTGTAGTAATTTATGGTTTTTTTTTTTTTTGCTCAAATCCCATTTTGTTTTTGCGTCCTTACGCTTAGAGATTAAATTAGAGAGTTGTTTGTTTGAAACCCGAACTCTCGGAAGTCTTGTCAATGATGTTGTCGCTTTATGGCTTCTGTAGGGGATTTATCCGCGCGTTCGGGATGTCCTCCCTCCACGGAAGGATTTCGGCTTACCTGCGCGCGTTCGGCAGTAGCCTTTACCCCTCTTTGCCCGCAGGAGCTTCGTCCCACATCGGGAGCTTCGTCCCACAGGTGCCTAGTGGGTACCTCCTCCTTTGAGTGCAACTGCTTATATGCGAGGAGGGAAGACGACTCTCTTCCGATGTGGGACGAAGCTCCTGCGGGCGAAGAGGGGTAAAGGCCACTGCCGAGCGCACGCAGGTCAGCCAAAATCCTTCTGTGGGGGAGGACATCCCGAACGCTCGGATAAATCCCCTACAGCTTCCTCGTGCTGTATACCACTTGATAATGTGGTCTGCATTTAGGAGCCACTTATCCGGTTAAGAATTCTGTTTGTATTCTCTCTTTAACGTTAGTTGTTTCTCATCCTGCTTTGATTCATCTTTCTCAAGCATGTAGTTTGTCATACATGGCTCCTTAAATTCCAGGGATTGTTGCTTATTCTATTGGTTTTCTCAGGTTCCCTGCTTGTTGAAAACTGTGACCAAAGAGTAATTCCAGTATTTAACAATTTAGTGATCAATGAGACTAGCAGTGATGCGGAAGCTGAATTTCTAAACAACAAATATGTAATACCCAAAGAGAGTTGCTTCTATATGGTATGCTGCGCAAGCATCCTTTTTAGTGTTCTTGTTTGCTAATGAATGGAATATCAAGTAACTTTAGTTCTTATAAATTATCTTCCTTATGATTATTTTGAAACTATTTTTACATTGATTTCTGTTTCATTCTAATGGTTTTGAAACCTACTGAGGTTTCATTTGTATGCTAAAATGCTTAGATTTTTATCAGTGTGTCTTATATTCTCTTTAATATTTTTTTTTTTCTCTTATTATGTTGAAGTCGGATCTGCGGCAGATTCACAATATGATTCCTGGTAATCTTTGCTTCTAGAACTTGATTTTGTGTTTGAACATGGTCTTTTGTGTTTAAAAGTCCCTATTTATGGTTACGGTATCTGTAATGATTTGGTAAGAAATACATCTATGTAGACAGTCAGTAATTAATTTATTGGTTGTTGGATCCAATATGCATGGCAATGCAACATCATCCAGATTTTATGCTTTGAGATATGCTTTACTAAATATTTGTCCAATGGAATGGCTGCAACTTCAATGCTGTGGCTTATTACTGAACTTTGTGCCTCTTTATGGTTCATCAAGAAACTGCAAGTACTCATGGTAAGGTAAGCGCTTGTATATGAAGCCTATGACATTGTCTCTGATGGTGAGAACCATCTGGATTTGCTTATTCTGCGCTTAATGTAGACCAGCATGCTGTTGCAAGTACCACCACTATACACAAGGTGGTTGTTGCTTTAGTGTTTCCACTCTTTTTTATCAAAGTTTTGGAAGATAGGTTGAACATTTCTTTTGTTGTCGGACTAAGTGGTAGCAGTTTTTCCTACTACAGGTGGATTAAATGTTCTCTAAATGCTTTTTGCAGCTGAGTCTGATTGTGGCTTCAATCTTATAGTGGTTGATCCGCCATGGGAAAATAGCAGTGCCCATCAAAAAATGAAGTATGCTATCACATTCTTCTGTACTCTCCCAAGGTTATTGCCTCTGAAAGGATTTTTTTTTAACTCATCTATAAATCTTACTGTAATGTTAGTTTTATATCGTGAGGCTTGTCGCTTCTTTTGTTTCCATTCTATGGCTCGCCTTTTTCACTTCTGCCTTATTTACATGTGTAAGTGTGCCACTGAAAATAAGTGACCCTCACATTTGCACCATGGATAATAGTAAATTAGTCAGCTGTGTTTTCTGAACAGATCATGTATTACCGAATAACATTATTCATCCTCACATGCCTCTTAAAGTTGTTGAATGAGAGAAACTAATATAGCATGTGCTTAATATTGTTGACCTATAACACTGAACAAGAGTAACGTTTATGCGTTTTGATCAAGCACGATTTGGTGTTGAATCTCAACCGCGTGGCAATTCCCTTTTCCCCTTCTCTTTAAGAGTGCTAAATCTATTGTTGGATACTGAACAAGAGTAACATTTATGCGTTTTGATCAAGCACAATTTGGGGTTGAATCTCAACCGAGTGGCAATTCCCTTTTCCCCTTCTCTTTAAGAGTGCTAAATCTATTGTTGGATATCAGCTGATAATGACAGTTCAGTGTTTAAAGTTTGATGGATTCTAGTATTTGATATTGAAACTAGTGGCAGCTATTGCATCACACATAGAAGGCTGCAAGTCACAATTTTGTTTCTAATTTTTGTTTAAACTAACCCATTGTTTTAAATGTTATGCACTTTACTTCTTTTCCTTTTTCCCCAACCATTGTAGGTATCCAACCCTGCCTAGCCGATACTTCTTATCTCTTCCTATCAAACAGCTTACCCATGCAGAAGGAGCACTGGTAGCCTTATGGGTGACCAATAGGGAGAAATTGCGAGATTTTGTTTTGAATGAACTATTTCCCAAATGGGGAGTCAACTATGAGGCTACTCTTTACTGGTTAAAGGCATCTCTCTTGCTCATGTATATATTGATGATGATGATGATGATGAGCTGCAAAACTGCTTCTGTATAAATATTAGGTGCTCAATTGTTACAGGTAAAAGCAGATGGCTCATTGATTAATGAACTGGATCTTTTTCATCATAGACCATATGAATGCCTGCTCCTGGGTTATTGTGGCGAGAAGGTAAGCTGGCCTAATGATGGAAAAATAGAATACCTTACTCTTGATAGGTGAGGAACTCCTTTCTGGAGTATTTCAAGCTACTTTTTATGATTTTGGTGTCAATGGTTTTGCAGGCAGTGGATTCTGAATGCTTGCCAAGATTAACATGTATGCCAGATGACCAAGTCTTCATTAGTGTTCCTGGGGATTACTCAAGGAAGCCCCCAGTCGGAGGTATCCTTGTCCTGAAATTGCGAAACATTCACTTCTGGAAATATTGTTTTCTAGTTTACTTGATATGCTTTTTTCAACCTTGAGTTCCTTTGCTTGAACTAGTTTGTTCTTGTTGTCTATGGTTTGATCCCCAAGTCCCATAAAAGAGCACAGATTCCGATGATGTTCATCCACCTGTGCGGTCTGGTTGAACTGTCTTATAATCTGGACTGAGAAATGCCTTTTTTTTTTGTTATTCCCTTGAATTGCTAGAGTTGCTACAGGAGTATGTGCCAGGGTTCATGCCTGCTCGTTGCATTGAACTTTTTGCTAGAGAAATGATGGCTGGTTGGGCTTCTTGGGGGAATGAACCCCTTCACTTTCAAGATGCAAGATATTTTTCAGGAAATGCTGCTAAATATTACTTCTAGACAAAATGCCTCTTTGTACCTTTGCAGCCCTGGAACCTACCTGCCATTCTTCTTTCAAGAATTTGCTCTTGTAAGTACAACTTGTTTTTCCTCGTAATGCTACTTAACTCTTGTCATTAGTTGTGACTTACTCAGAAGCACATGAATAGGGATGATTATAACGACAATTGTATGCATGATAAAAAATGAAGCCTTCTATACTTATAAATTTATGTCTCCTCCAAGCCGCCTTTGGTGTGGAGAGCTGATTTTAGATAATTTTGGTGTATACCTTGTTTGATTCTTTTTTCCTTGTAATCACGACAAAGAATGAGCCTTTCAATGAGTTACTGGCTGCTTTCTGGCTTTCTGCTTGACTGGTGTTTCAATCTTGAATCCCAACATCTTTTGTTCTTAGTCTTTTCCTTGTCTGACAACTAGTTGAATAAAACATTGTCATATTCCCACTTTACTTCCCGGTTCAAAAAATTATATGACCTAAAGTATTCCAAAGTGGTTGGATGGACATATTTTCAGACGATGAACAACAGACGTCTTTGTACTTGCTGTTTGCTGGGTAAATAAGGGGCAAAGATGGCAACTCTGTTCTATGTTATGTAAAAGCGATGATTTTTGAATGGTTAAGATATTCTGTTCTATGTTCTATTGTACAGTCCGTAATGTTGATCCATTCTGTTGACTTCCTCTTATTAATTTTTGTTCATTTTCCTTCTCTTTGAACAATTTGACAGCTTGATCCTGACTGTAAGCTTTTGCATCCTTTTTTATCTGAAACAATTGATTTGCTTAAATCTGTATTGTGCTGCCGATATTGCCAGTGTACAGAATGTTGTGAGAGAAACTCAACTCAAAAATGTCTTATCCAAACATTTTTGAAGTCGATTATATGAATTTTCGTTCACGATTATACTCTATGTTGTTGCTAGGGAAACTAATAGCAAAAATACAAAATGGCCCCTAAAAGTAAGAAGTCCATTCACCAACAAGAAAAGTCTCCATTTCTCTCCTCCTCGTTGTGACCTTCTTCTGTGGCTGATGAAGCAGTGAACAGAAGCAACACCACCTTTGCTACTACCTACCCGACCACTTCGTTGACAACATGCAATTCTGGTGAAATCTGTGCCCTTCCAACCAACGATATGGAGATAGTTTCTGTGATATTTGATAATGGACGATCACTTCCATTAAATTGTCTGATCTAACTGTAATCTGGAGAACCACCTCTAATAGACTATTTTCTGAATTATTAGATCTGTCGACATGCTAATGTGATGCAAGGAATGATTACCTGCAATTACAACACTGATGATACCACCGTGTTTCGGAGGATTTTTGACGCCGTGATCATACTTAATTAGACTGGACTGAAAATGAAGGGTCACGTTCAGGTGACAGATGGCTTCAACAATTATGAGTGCTAGATGAGATAGTGGGCAACGTGGACTGGATGCGAGACCCCCCATATTTTTTCAGGTCTTCTAATTTGTTTTGTTGTAGAATCTTGCGAGTCTGATCTTTTGATGTGCTGTTTCACATCTCTATTGATCAGACTTTAGTGGAATACCTGGATAGTGGATTTTTTTCTTTTGTTACAAGGTGTCTAAGATTGCGCTTACTACTCTCTCTAATTCAGCGACTCTGAATAGTGAATATTGGTTTGGAAAAAAAAACTGAGATCAGTTAATTATACCAATTAGGTGTTATTTTGGTTTGTACATTATTTTGGCAGCGTGTTTGCTTGGACATTGACATGCTGATTGTTATTGCATTGACTACCAAGAATGACCCTCGTACTACTTCGTCGTGTTGTTGTTTTGTATATAGTTAAAGATAAAAATAGTAATGCAAAATCCATAAAAGAGAAGTAACTATGCCATGTTTAATGGTAAGATGGTCTTCTATCACCTCAATTGGAATTAGTACTTAAGTTGCTAGAGTTTTATCATCTCAGTTGAAATCAATTGTTAGGATAGTTATTAGGTTTATTAACGGATAGAGTTTGGATTGGATTTTGATGGATCCAAATTTAATTTTAAAGGCCCATTTGAATTTGACTTGATAATCCGGCGGATTTTATTTTTATAGTCAATATTTGAAGTCATTAACAATTCGGAATCCGATTCAATTTAAATAACTTAATTGACTAAATTATACCTAAGTTTTAACCAATTTTTAAAAAATTTATATACAAATATATAAATAATTCGGATCAGATCATAATCAGATTAAATATATGTATATCTAAATCCAAATTCATGGAATATAAAGTATTGAGTTCGGGTTTGAATTATCGGTAAAAAAAAAATTTAAACAATATCCAACTAAACAGATCTCGGGTCAGATTCAGATCAATTAACCGGATTAGTAGTAACAATCTAACAATATATTAGTCAGGGAAAAAGTACAAAAAATCCTTATTTTGTGTCAAGGGAAGTTTCGCATAATAATAGTTATCATTATATTATTGTCCACTGTATGCAAAGTCGTTGTAGTATAGTGGTAAGTATTCCCGCCTGTCACGCGGGTGACCCGGGTTCGATCCCCGGCAACGGCGTTTTTTACTAAACTTTTTATGACTTACCAGTCAGCCATCCAATTCTGCTTTTTTTTTTTAAACCCGAACATTATAGAGGAAATGAATAAAGCGTTGTCTGAGATCTGGACCCCCGTGAGAAGGTCTTATGAGTAGTATTAGGGCTGACTGAAAAATTATGTTGCTCTTAACTTCGCAGCGAATGTCTTGTTTATGCAGTTGAAGTGTTTGAAGAATTGCCCAAGAAAGATTTCATGTTTTTTGGGAACTTTTATAATTTTGCATGTTAGCTCACGTCTGCAATTATTAGATGATTCATTGTGTCTATAATTAAAGCCCAGATGCCAATTGAGAATGTAGACATCTCAATTAACAACTATGTAAAAAAGTGGGTTTTTGCACTTTGGTGAGTTAGTTTCATTATGGAGGCTGGCCATGGAATCGGAGGGTGACATTTAGTAGCATGGTTGATCTTCATGGTTTGTTCCATGGTTGCTAGGAGGGTTACAAGTCTTTTAACATTAATCATCTGAATATCACATTGGAAACCTCATGGAAGCTTTATAGTTTTCTGTTGAAATTTGCTGTTAAAAAACTGGTTGGGGATGCACAAGCTATTCACAAGGATGGATTTTAAGAGAAGGATAACCAAGACCACCGTTGGCCTAGCTCGGGTGGCTTCGATTTGTCTTCAAGATATACTTACAGAGAGAGGAATGATGCAACTGTTGACTTAAAAGATTGTCAGTTGCAGCTCAACATGCTTGTATACAGACATTGGCTCCTCGGCTGAAGGCACAACGATATAAAATTGCCGGTATGTTATCAAGCTTCATCCAATTTGCAGGAAACAACATGTATGATGTGCCATTGAAAGCATTCTGAAAAGCCATCAAGGGGTCAGCAAAAATTATAATCCTTTTCAGTAAGGTTGTTTCTTTTTCTCCCTTGATTCTTTTAACAATTTCTGCAAACTTTGTCCTGAGATGCCCCCTACATAGAGTGTCTATGCATAGACATTTTCAGCTACACCAGCCAATGCCCAAGACCCCAGTTGTAGAGCTATTCTTGGATGGTAATTTGTAGAATAGTAAAGAATATTTTGCACCAGGAAGTTAAGGGCAGATTTTTTTTTTTATTTATAAGATAATTCTGCTATCTGATCTTCAATGAACTTGATAGTAGTTGTTGAAAATTGCCTGGCTATCTGATCTTCAATTATCCGATTAAGACAATTTTAAAGAGTAGAAGTAAATCAAACAAATAACAATTTTAACCGAAGATGAAGAGAGAAATTGATTCCCAAGCACGAAAGTTTTATCCATAAAAAGAGACCTGAATAAAGAAAAGATTGACAGATACATTGTTATGTGCTGGAAAAATTGCAATTTTCTTGCGCTACTGTTTTGGTATAGTGGTAAGATAATTCTATTATAATTCAACAAGTTCTAATTACACAAATAAGTTTTATCCATAAAAGAGACTTGAATAAAAAAAAGATTGACAGATACATTGGTGTGCGTGCTAGATCTTGCACAATATAAAAACGAGAACAGATCTCTCCCTTGGTGAACTCAAGTGAGTCAGTTGAGTGGTCAACCACGTTACTTGGAACAGCCTGTGAGATTCGGTGGTAACCTGTAACGGTAATGGGAGACCCTCGCGGATCAAATGAACGATCCAGTAAGGCTGAAGAAAGTTCCTAGAATAAAGAAGAACAAGTTAGAAGGGCGCCAGAGTGTTTTTCGGCGTATCCCCTCCGACGATTAAGTCAGTTTTTGAGAGAGAGGAAGAAGAAAACACTGAATATAATTTGTAGCCAAAGTTTTACCTTTTGTTCTTGCCTTTAGTGAGGAGTATTTATACCTCAAATACTCATGATTGTTGTCAGTGTGGTCAGTAGGTGATCATTAGATACAGGCAACGTGCGCACTAATTCCTATGAGGAATGTCTTCTCTCTTAACTGCTCGGGACCCCGAGCAATCAAGTCTGTGTCATCGGCCTGCCGACGGTTCAATGAGCTCCTCTCGGGGAGGATGCAATAAATGCCCAGCCTTAGAGACATTTATTGTCTTTCACTTCTGAGCCTTACCACATTGAATGCAGTCTCATCAAGGGAATGATGTAATTAAATGTTTGTTTTCTCAAGTCGCGTGTCAGCAAGGTCATGCGGTCTTTCTGTCTCTGATGTGACACAATATGCCACGCGTCCATTCCTCATTGGCTGTGGCCCCTGCCTTCCTGTGCCTTCTGACACCAATTGTGTAAGACGAGGTCATGATAGCTAACCTAGCCTAGCCTAAGCTAGTGACCAGTACATCAATAATCTCTGCTGGAGCAGAGAACTTCATCATGGATGAGGGGGTACATCTCGGTACCGAGGAAGATGTACATCTCAGAGCCGAGGAAGAGGTACATCTCGAAAAACGAGGAATAGGTACATCTTGAATCCGAGAGGGGAGACCTAGCGACCGATGTATCATATTAGACCGAGGATACGTGTCGGTACATAAAAACGTACTGGATGCCACTCGATCCCATGATAAGTACCTCGGAGTTGAAGGGACTTGTGACCCGATGGGTACGTGATCTCGATAACAAAGATCAGTGACACCGAGGACACGTGTCTTCATCTTGGAGTATTCCGAAATGTCCCATCAATTGTTGTGTGCCGGAAAAATTGCAAACAAATTTTATGTGCACTTGCGGCCATAGACCTTCTCCAGATTCGTCACTATATATGTCTAGGAAAGTGCTCGCATGGAAATGGATTGATATAAGATTCTATGAAAGGTGATTTATATCACACCTAGTTGGTAGTTCATTGCCCGAGAGATTATTTCGCTTAGCAGCTTGAGATAATCATGAATACGAACATGAAATAAGATGGGTCAAGTATTGCTCTTAGTTAAGTCTCAAGAGGGATGGAGGATACCTGACTGGTGTGATTTGAGTTATATAGGGTATGAATGATATCTGGTTAGTGACGTGCTATATTAGTTAGATGGTGGCTTAATATAATGCTCCCGCTCTATTCTTTTTCGTCAAGTCGAACGCTCCATCACTTGTATGAGGAGATTGAAATAATAATGAGAGATGTGATAATAACCCGGTAGTGTTCTCAAGGTTGTAAGAATCCTAATAGGTTTATCTCTTTTCCTTTATCCAAATCATCTATTTATCAGTTGAGATAACCCATAAGTTG